GTTTTACGCAATACTGATTGTTGTACTAAAAATTGATCAAATCATCAAATAGTCGGCTAGTTTTCAAAGGTTAAATACACATACTTGTAGGTAAACAATTAACACTCACCTTGCCAATCGATTTTGGAAGCTTCAGATGCGTTGCTTTCCTCATGGAGTTCTTAGTTTGGAAACGCCAGTTTTTGTCAAAATATTTAAGGCATCCTTGTCGTTCTTAATTTCGCATTTTATAATTTTTTGCTGGCCGTTCCTTGATGCGCAACTAACCTACCTACTTGAGGGGCCCACCAGATTCCAAACCGGAACTAACCTCCCCATTTATGGCCCTAGGGTCATTAGATGCGCCACTAACCCATGGTGGAAGTAAATAAGGTGTGCTACTGCGCATCGTGCCCGGCTGCAGGTGGTGCGGGGGAGGGGTATCGTGACGTCACCTTGGGGGCAAACATGCGCTACCATATCGAGCAGTGACGCTGCTCTAATAAAATTGTAATTTTTAATAGTAAGAACCGATAAAAATTCCTGAAACTTTGCATAGTCTTGGACTATTAACATAGGATGCTTATGATTTAAATTTTATTAATTTATTTGAATTAAAAACCATTCAACCACCGATCAAACTTCAAACTTGTTCATACTAACACAAAAAAGTTAGTCAGCTACCAAATCACGTATTATTTGTTCAGGTTTATGAGACCTGCGGGAAAGTTTTAGGTAAAGGTTCTAATTTAACTGTAGTATCGGTTGGATTTTGATAAAAGAATCACTTTTTTAGCTACGAAGAATTATATCAAGCGGCAGTGTTGGGAAGTAGCGCGCTACAAGTAGCGACGCTACAGTAGCGCGCTACTTTTTTTGTAGCGTTAGCTGTAGCTACGCTACTTTTAAGATTTTGTAGCTTTAGCTGTAGCTAGCTACATTTTTAAAGTAGTTGTAGCGGAATTTTAGCTACTTTTCTCGCTACATTAACTTGTTTGAGATAGTGATTTTTATCATAACCTCAACCTTACGTGAAACAACCTCTTTTAAAATGAGATAAAAACAAAATAGGCCTACTTTATTGGCTTCAAACAGCTGGTTGCAGCCGTTTCATTCCCTATTACAACACAACGTTGTGTGGACATAGAGGCCATTAAATGAGTGTTATCCACATTTTTGGCTCTCATTTCCTTAATTTACTACTCTATGATTACTGTCAGATAAAATAAAATCGCTAGATGCAGACGACGTTTAAACGGTACCGGGTACCGGTGACAAGAGAAGCTATTGAATGCTTGCAAGTGATTGACAGGACAGGGGAATTAGTAATCAATTTAGTTTCTTTATTATATCGATAATGTTTCAACTTGGGGTTTAATGGAAACCAACACACCTTGAAATAATTAGAAAGCTGGTCTATCAACCTTTGCTTCAGCTGTTGATTGTGGTTTATCATCTCAAGTCCTTCCTTGGTTAGATTAGATTACGAGGATTTTTCAAAGGTTTACTAAATTAACAAAGAGGAAATTACCTGATGAGATTTAAGATATGCCTAGACTACATGATAATTGTAATGAAAAAATCTCCCTCCATATAACATGAAACATACATTGAAAAAATAGCATAGTTTGCTCCTGCTAACAACTCTTGTACTTGTATAGGACTGAGGCTATAAGACGAACACAAGTTCCTAGTTCAATTATTATGAATATATCTGTTTAGTCCTTGCAAGAACAAGCCTACTATAGCCAACTTGTTACATAGCCAAGTAGGCCTACATGTTATTTTTACTTTACAAAATTAAACATGTTTAAATTAAAAGCCGATTTCAGGATAAGTTACTGAATACTGTTTTCTCTACCAACTAGGTTGAAGCACAATTTGCCCTATGCATAATGACAATAAAGGACGATTTCTTGACATTGAAAAGTGTTATTCGTAGAACAAGTAATTTATCACTTTCAAAGTTATAGCAATGTCGTTTTTAACATTAAAAGTAAAGGAAGGCAATAAACTCCAATTTCAGTAGGCTAGGCTCTGTAACACAAAAAAGTATTTTTAAATAATCTTTTTACAGTTTTATTGGTCTTAATTGTTGATATAAAACATCTATAAATGAATCTATATTAGATTAATAAAATGAGCTTTTAAAATATAGTTTGGTTGTATGTCCTTTGAACTTAATGAAATTTACATTTTAAGATGTTTAAAAATAATGCAATATTTAAAAATAAGTACTAAATATGATGGGACACCCAACTATTTGGTTCTGTTGTTGTAATGTTAGGTTTATAATGCCAACAAATTAAATACAATCTAGGAATAATTTGTTTTCCAAGTAATGTTAGATACAATACTGACATTTTTTTAAATGTTTGTTCAATAAAAATGTAGTTGCAATTAATTTTACATTTACCTAATGTGCGTGGAATAAAAAGTAACGTCTTTTGGAAAAGTAGCTAAAATTGTAGCTGTAGCTACATTTCATTGTAGCTGTAGTTGTAGCTAGCTACTTTTTGGGAACTGTAGCTGTAGCTGTAGCTAAGCTACTTTTTTGGAAATGTAGCAGTAGTTGTAGCTAGCTACATTTTAAAAGTAGCTTCCCCAACACTGTCAAGCGGCAACGGAGCGCGCGCTCAGCCGATGCCACCGTTTATTGGATAATAAGGCCACGCATTTATTATCCAAAACACTGTAGCTACATGTTATAAGGATATACTTTGTATTCTACATTTTAAATTAAATGTGTAATTTTAACATGTGACAGATAGGCTATAATAAGTTTTACATTAAAATGCGTTGCTAAAATTAAAATCTTCGTTTTTATACGAATTAACTCTCTTTGATAACAGTTGCCATAAAATTTGTAGGATCGGAAATGAATAACATTTCCTTAACCAAAAACATAGTTTATTACATTTTGAAATCTTATTAAAATATTTACGACCTGAAAGTAAACATCTAAAAAATTAAACATTTCATCACCTCTGGATTTTCTAAACCTTTATAAGTTTTCTTTTTTCGCCACCAGCAAAATTGCATTGTCTTAGCCTCCTGTTGATTTGTTGAGGAAAACTAAAATATCGCACGTTTGGTTGCGTTTTCTTATTTTTCTAACTATTACAACAACCGTATACTGCACAATGGGGCATTTTTGTAGAAAGATGTGTGCCCTATGGAAAACTGACATCTACTGCAACTCGCGGTGAACACAGAAACGAAAACAAAACAAACAACACGTGATCGTCCCCCGCACCCGAACCAAAGTTGCGACATAGATAACAACCCCAGTGAAATAGGATCCTAGCTGTCGAATTAAACTGGAATATCACATTTTATTATCATGGTATTGCAAGAGTGAAACAATTTAATATTTTAACCTGATTATAAATACAATGTTTAATCACCAACTTAATTTTTAACAGAGTACATTTTATTTTATATACTATGTTAAATACATTCCTTTGCGTTAAAGATCATTTATTATTTAAACCACTATTTGCAAACTTTGGTTTTAACTAATCAACAACGATTTGCAATACTTTAAATGCAATTTGGCAACGTTAACCCTATTCACCGAGGAGACAATATTATATATTCTCTGTGAACTATTACGAAATAACCCATATTCAAACGGGGGAAAACACACTGAAGTCAACAGAACAACAATTTTTCACATAAAAATATAAATACAGGAATAAAAATACCAATGATACTATATTCATGAAACTACATTATTTGTTGGATGGCAATGTGTGATTAATACTTGGCAACTGACTCGACTCGCAGCACGCGCTCCGATCACGCGCTCATATAACTTAGCATATCTCAGGAAATAACGCCTCTAACGGTATATAGTTTGAAGGAAAGTTAAATTTGGATCTTTATCTAAAACTTTCCCGCTGGTCAAACCCGTCTAACCAAATAGTATGTGATTTAGTAGCCGACTAACTTTTGCATGTTTAGTTTTAAGAAAGGCCAAGTATAAAGAGTGATTTCACGCTTAAGTTTTTAACAATTACAAACTATTTTTTCACGACACGCATCGTCCACTTATAATTGATGTTCATGTCAAGTTTCATAATTTTTCCTCAATTCTAACAGTTCAAAATGTTGATGTTAATAGAGCAGTGTCACGCTGAGCTATATACGCGCGCGAAGCGGTTTGCCCCCAAGGTGACGTCACGTCGCGATGCGCAGAACGGTCTCAAACTCGTCCGGCTGAGTAGCACACCTTATTTACTTCCACCATGCCACTAACCTACCACCGATCTTTGAAGGGGGAAGCGCAAGGGGAGGCAGATTTTGACCTTCGGGGCAGTCAGCTAGTAAATGGTGGTCGAGGGATTATGGCCATTGTACATTTCTTCGACCATCGGCGCAATCGGGCGTTAGCCGCCGTAACATTTGTCTGAATTTTGCAAAATAAAATAGTTCTGAATAATCCTTTGTAGCATGAATATGTTATCAATGTAATTTTGTTTGTTTTTGGTTAGGTTGGGTTGGGTTAGGTTAGGTTAGGTATTTCAACAGGATATGCCCATATTAAACTAAATTAAATGCTAAAAACAAAAATAGTGTCCTCTTCTCCTATATACTAATAGGCTAATACCATTGACTCTGTAAAAAGAACCAAAATAGATGTTGTATGTAATTCTCACTAAACTCACTAATGCTGTCAACTTCCACCTAAGCTCGACATCATTAAAGTAAGTTGAAACTATTCTGGGAACGGTGGACAGTATAAAAAACTGTAGTTGTTTTGTTTTCTAGGATTCAAAAAGTCAGTGAATGTATATTAGTTATCGTCCAATATTCAGGAAGAAATAACTTGCAGCTTATGAAGCTTTTAATACAGGTATCGTGCATTATGTAAAAAAAGCTTATCCATCCCAGAAGCCAAAATGTATTCATGCCTTGATTGCAAACCAAAAATTGTGTTGAGAAAAGTCATTTTTAGGCCTTAGTGATGAAATACCATTATGATTCTGATGTTCCTAAACTAACTGCTGACATTTCAGGGTGCACAGAGCTCCTCAGATTCCTCGGATGATTCCTCTGATGAGAGTGATAGTGGCGTCAGTCAAGTCGAAGTGTAGGTTATTTTTTTGAGACTTAAGTATTGTGTTTTATACTGTTTTGTAAACTATTTTCATGTAATTTACAATACCGAGTAGGAATTTTACTATACTTTTAAGAATTTGTGCCAATATTTACAAAATCTAGGTCTAGAGGGTTTGAGCCATTTATCTATTTACAGAAACTACCAACGTTTCGGCTACATTATAGTCGGCCATCTTCAGGGCGGGTGAAAGCAATCACAGTGTTCACACAAAATTCTACTGGCAAGGGTGGGCCGGGCTCGTAGGGTATTTAACCCCTTGGTGGGGGTTTGGTGGAGGTGTTTTGGTACTCTCCTCTCCTTTCTATCTTCACCGGCCTCCGGCCGTTTTTAGAATGTTTTCGGCTTTCTCTGGCTAGCAGGGACTGTTGAATCACTGTTTTTCACACTATTTTTAGTTTAATAAAAAAAACGGTTCCTTGTATTATTTGAATATTTCCGTTTCCTTTATGAACATTGTCAGCATGTTTCCTAAATAACATTGCTTCTAAAATCTCTTTTAAAATATTTATCAGAATGTGCTAAAACTTTTACATTATCAAACTCTGTTGCATGATTAGTTTGGAAGGAATGGTCTGTTCATAGACAACTGAGGCGATCGAACCCCGTAGACCAAGATTGTTTAAATATTAGTGACGACTGTGGTAGCCTATCCATGAACAATTTGTATCAATATTGTTTGAATATTTGAATAAATAATAAATTTGTAAGTGTTTTAGTTTTATTTTCCTTTAAGAAATGTGACCAAACAATTGAAGTGGACCATGCATCTTGTGGTTAGTTCTTTGAAGTTTATTTTGTTAATATACACATTTCATTCTAACTGCTGAAAGTTGTATGAAGAGCCATAGAATTAAACTGTGAATTTAAATAAGTGAATTCAAATCTATACATTTTTCTGTTTTTTATTAGTGAATTTCCCATATAGGGAATAAGCTATTAACGCAGGTCTCATGGTAAGACCTAGACCCGGGACTGATTTACTTTTCTGTTTTGAGGTACCCAGAGGCTAAAAATCCCATCTGTTCAAATTCATATATATACAGGGGTGCCTACAAGGGGGGGCTGTGACGCAGACTGCGTCATTCAAATTCTTGAGGGGGGCTGAAAAATTCAAATGGGTGGGCTAAAGTTAATTGTAATAATATTGTTCAACCTGTGACGACAATCAAAAATATATTACAAAGTCGCCAGTTGATTAATGACAATAGTTATATTATTGAATTCAATTAGTTAAAATAGGAGTTTAGGATAGTTTAGGATTTGTTTAGGAAGTTATTATTCAAGATTAGCAAGATGTGAGATCTAAGAGGGAGGGCACGGAATGGCTCAACTTCTGAGATAAAGATAATAACGCGTGGCACAGACACAAGCTACATCGAGACTTAGCACAGAACGCTTTGTTGACATAAAGCTCGTTAAAATACAATCAAGTAGCATAGGCTACATTACTTTACACTATTATGTAGATACTGGATTACCTGAGTTAATAGGGAGGGGGGGGCAATGAAAAAATACAGTTAATCCAATGTAGTATAAAAACAGATAACAAATCCATTAAAACACTGTAAACAGCCATTAACGTGTGACGTATTTTTGCTCAAGTGAGATTTTTAAGCAAAGGGCAGCGTCTTAAAAAGGTTGCCTGGATGATAACTCGAGCTGGGTTTTGTTCTAGAGCTCAAAAATCAAAGTTTTTAAAAATAAAAGTATTTTGGGCCAAACTCCCCTTTCACCACTCCTATTTTTCCAATAAATTTAGTTTGGGTCTAAAATTTCAGACAAATTCGGAATTCACAATCCGAATGATCAGTGATCATTCGCTATCAATAATGATCAATTCAAGGATCAATTCTATAATCACATTCTTAGACCCAGTTGTTGTATTCCAGTGTTATTGTTTGACAGAAATTATTATCAGTGTTGAGGATAAGCACCAGATGAGATTGCAACTTTTGGTTAACTGATTAGAGGGTTAGCATCTGTGTGCCACGAACTGAGTAGAAGTTATCTCAGTGGTGAGAAAGAGATAAAGATAGTCCTAGCTCTTGCCAGACTACTAACTACGAGTATGTATGCAGCGCCGTCCTTAGGGTGGAGCGAGTGGAGCGGCCGCTCCAGGCCTCGCGCCCGGCGAGGCCTAACTATCGCTAGAAATAAGTTAATGTTTTGGAATGAAAATAAAAAAATAAAGGACAGACAGATACATGTGCCTAAAATATGTCTTATTTTATATGAACTAGCCTATATCAATTGTTGTATCGATTAAAAACCTACGAATGACATCTAAAACACAAAAGAATATCAAACAACGTTTGACAGCTCGGCGGCGATGACGGAACCCGAGCCTCGCGGCAGCCACCGAGCCACCCCGGTGAATGTGAGTGAGTCATACGCTTACTCTTACTGGTGCCATTAAAGTTCTATTGCATGATTAATTAAGTTCAATTTATTTACAGATGTAAATGTTTACTGGATTGAATGGATAATCAGCGTGGATAAGACTGACTGTAAACTACTCGCATTTCGCAATAAACATAAACCTATAACAATCTTTGTTATTAAAGTAAAAAGTAATACTGTGAATCAATTACACTGTAATGATACTACCTCTTTTAATTTATTATTAAAAACTCATTGACAATTATAGGTAATATTTTTTTACCTTTTAAACCCCCCATTACAGACCAACTGACGAAAACACAATAAACCTATATTGACAAAAAGTGCATAAACAAGTTAGCCTATGACGTTTACTATTTACAAAGTGACGGGACGACAATCCACAGTGAAGAGAAGTGTTCATTTTTTTATTAATGATTGTAAAGAACTTCGTGGACAATATTTATGATATTCACTTTGGAATTGGAACAATAATATGTGCAATTAGCTATGATATTAACGGCCATTTACAGAGTGTAAAAGAAATGACGAATTTGCAAGTATCTCATTGACAATTATTTATGTAATATTTTTTTAACTTTAAAACACCCTTCACAGACCAGTTGCCGAAAACACAATAAACCTAACTTGACAAAAAAATAAATAAACAAGATAGCCTATAAGCATTTACTATTAATTATTGTCATCCCGCCACTTTGTTTAATTTACAAAGTGTTGATTAAATTCACAATCCACAGTAAAGGAGAAGTGTTAATTTTTTTTTTTATTAATGATTGTAAAGAATTTCGTGTGCAATATTTATGATATCCACTTTGGAATTGGAACAATAATATGTGTAATTAGCAATAATATTCACGCCCATTTTCAGATTGTAAAATATTAATTTTTTTCGTCAAAGTGCTTAAAACGACGACTTTACAAGTATAATTTTACAAAAATTTTCCGGGGGGGGGGACCCCCAGACCCCCCCCTCAACTGCGGGATACTCCGTACCCCCCAGACCCCCCGGTGAGCTTGGTTAAACAAGGCCTCGCAATTATGTATTGCCCCAGGCCTCGCATTTTATAAAGACGGCTCTGTATGTATGTCCGCCTTGCACAAACATAGATAAAGTATAGTACTAGAAGTTGTATATAGAGAATTAGTATGTATGTGCATTGCAGGGCAATCTCCACATCAGTAAAAAATTCATAATCTCGATAGTTATACTCGTTCATTGTACCATATCTCATATAGCCATATGTCATATGATCATTATATATTTATATTAATAAAATCATTTACAAACGTACCTTATGTCTCTCTATGTAATCCAGTGTCGAATAAGTGAAAAAGATGTGCTTTGCTATAGAACTGGGTAGAGTATGGTTGCTAGAGAGGTTGTACCTCTTCGGAAGCTTAAAGCCCAGAAAACATACTACTATAACCCAGAATGCCAACCGCATGGTAAAAAGCATTAAGTGTTTTGAGAGAGCTTTGCCTGTCAATTGTAAAAAGTCATACTCGGTTGGTAACTACGGTTAATAATGGGACTGCGTCTCGTTGTCCCGCCGTCTAGTTGTACCTACGTCTACTTGTACCTCGAGGCCTAGAAACAACTAGTCGTAGGTACAACTAGACGCAGGTACAAGTAGACGGTGGCACATCCGACTAGTTGTACCTGCAGATTTTTAGGAGGTACAACTAGACGTAGGTACAAGTAGACGTGTATCCCACCGACAAGTAGTATCACCTAGCTTGTACGGATGCGACCAGTTGTCCCTACGGCTAGTGGTCCTTACGACTAGTGGTCCCTACGTCTAGTTGTACCTACGTCTAGTTGTACCTACGACTAGTTGTACCTACGCGTATTTTGCGTAATAATATATATTATTAAATATATTATTTTTTACAAGTATTTATTTACAATCTATTCTATACTAGAACAATAAGCAAATTTAATAACCATTTTAACATGGGTTAGTTTCACTCCATCAAGTGCACTAACAATACAAAAACTTTTAAAAAGTTTCACTAAAAACGATTTGGAAGGTCTATTGGATTAACTCTTTTGAGCCTATATGTAGCTTCACTATTGTCGAGAAGGTTAACTGCCAGGAAATTTGGATGGATTTCTAATTTTCTTTGGTATTTTTCACTTAGTTTTTTTATTTCTTCTTTAACATAGGGTAATTTTGTATCTTGATGAATTACTTTATTTGTGACAAACCAAGAAGCTTGTAAAATTTTTCTCAGTGTCTTCGATTGAATCCTTTGAACTAATTCTATGTTTGAGTTTGTAGTGGTTCCCCAGAGTTGGATACCGTAGGTCCAAATAGTTTTCAATATAATTTTGTATAAAAGTAATTTATTTTCAACAGATAATTTTGAATTTCGACCAATGAGCCAATTTAGTTAGTTTGTTTTTAAATTTAAATGAAGTTGTTTGTTCCAAATGTGTGAATGCCATGTAAGCTGTCAGTCGAGATGCATACCAAGTTACTTAACTTCGTTGGATTGTGGAAGGATTACATTATTCAATGTTACTGGGGGGCAAGTTCTTGTAGACATAGTAAATGTAACTTGAACGGATTTTGTTTCATTTACTTTAATTTTCCAATTCTGTAAATATACAAGCAGTATATCCTTAATGAATTACAATAGACCGCTGCCTAGCAATTATGTATTACTATTTTTGCTGATTCCTTAAAATATTTTTTCACATAACCTTAAAGTATTTGCATTGATTAGTGCACATTTCTTATAGTTTACAATGGATTTCCCAGTGAACAATGAACAATGAAGTGTACAATGAAGTTGAGGTCCAGTGGTTGAAAAACTCAACCAAAAATATGCAATGTACAGACTTCTCTATTTAACATACACTGTAAATAATACATGTGATTGGATTTTTTTTTCCATTTCAAACAAACTAAAGAAGCTAGTTAAACTATATAAACTAAATTTGATACTGAGCTAGGTATGTGTACACTGGTTACACACTGTGTACACAGTCTGCAACTAAACCAAGATTAGTTTTACTAAGAACTAATAAGCGTGCACAAAAAAAGTCATATCTGGGTTATTTTTTCAATGGTATTTCAATAGTGAGCTTTCATTACGTTTGCGTAGAAGGTAATTAAGATGTGTTTTTGAGAAAAGGTAGTAGTTAAGTGTGAAATAAACTTATTTGTCAAAGTATATGCATAAAAAAACCAAACTACGCCAGTTTACGTAATATCCATAAGAATAACTTTTAATTTGAACTTGTTGTAATATTCTCCGTGACTAATACCATACAAAAACACTTCATTATACTCAATTACTT